AGAATTGGATGGCGCACATCAGTGTGTGTGGCGCTCTTATGGGCATTGTAAATGCCTACCCCAATGTGTCCCCAGAAATCCTGCTCCTCAATGATAGACTCAGGAAGCTCCTGAGCAAGACGATCCGTGGCGAAACTGCGTCACTTCGCTGCTCCGGATCAACAGCCCCACAAAACACCCTCACCGATGCAAAGAATTGTCTTACCAAATCGGGGTACAAATCATTTGTCCTCGTCGCTATTGTCTTTAAACCAGCTTTHTCTAACAAATGATACACCCCATCCTTGATTTTCGTCCCTGACATCGTCCGTGGATGAGAATACCGTGTAGGCYAGATTGTCACTTMCAACKACTCGTTATAAAGCAACMAGTCAWAATCATCCCACTCATTATTAATCGTCKTCTTGACAACCTCGAAACTCTGTAAGACTTTCTTAGGCACGTCATCGAACATCCTTTCGATTATGAATTCTATTTCCTTCGGTCTAGGCCAAAGATTGTGAGTACCGGGTAGAACAGCGGGTTGGGAGCTTGATGCCTCCTGATTTCTCGGTTTCTTGTTCCTCCGTGAAGCCATCTGCAAGGAAATCAAACAAGAAAAACAACAAATAGCTAAAATCAGCAAAAGACAGAATGTTCTGGGCATCTGCGTCGAAGCATAAGCTGATTCCAAAAATCTACAATCTGAAGGCAACAGATCTGCAAACATTCAACCACAACACTCGCGGTAACAACAATCCATCCCCAATCTCTACCCTAATCGTCCCACCTTCCAATTTCTACCAAGTTTTATCTCGAAATCCATACATTCGAACAAATTCCTAAAACTTGCTAAACAAGCGGAATTAAGCACATGGATATGTCGAATTCACTCTATAACAACTTAAATTGGTAGAATGTAGCAATAGAAACGAGTGAAAAGTTATGAATTTTGGAAAATCAAACCTTGAAAACAAAACAGAAAGAAAGAGATTTCGAACAAGTGAGGGATAGAAACGAAAAGGGAATGGAAATCCACTCAAGTTAGGCTCAAAAACCACTCAATT